GGCACTGCGACGACGATCACGACGATGATGCTGATGATGGCCAGGTGATGGCGACGAAGCAGTGCCACGTCATCGGGGGGGCGGGAGCGGGATCGTGTGGGGAGTTTGCGCGCGGGTGGGGAAGATGGGATCGCACGGGGGAGATTGGGATCGGGGGGAATCGTAGTCGGGGGAGGATCGTGACAGCGGGAGAGGAGAAGAAGAAGAAGAAGAAGAAGATAAAAAAAAGAAGAAGAGGAGGAACAGGAAGAAGATGATGAAAAGAAGAAGACCAAGATGAAAAGGAGAAGAAGAAGAAGAAGAATCAAAGAAGAAAAGAATAAAAAAATTAAAAAAAAGGAAAATTGTCGTCGATTACCTATCTGCGTGGGGTAGCAACGACGATGATGAGGATGGCCCGGCGCGGCGACGAGGACGACGGGCACGACGATGGTGACGTGGCACGACGACGACGATCGTGGCGGTGACGATGATGATGTGGCACGAAAATGACGATCGCGACGATGACGGTGATGACGTGGCACGACGCCGGCGATCACGACGATGGCGTGGGACGATGACGACGATGATGCTGATGATGGTCAGGTGATGGCGACGAAGCAGGGTGGGTCGGGCGGGTTCAAACCGCTCCGATACCGGTGTAACACGCGCGAGGCTGAGGGAGAGCCGAGGGAGAGGAGAGAGAGAGGAAGAGAGAGGGAGAGAGTGAGACCACGCACACACACTCACTCACTCGACACGATTGAGGGTTGGACGCAGACGCAGTGGCAAGGCACAAAGTCGAAGTCTTGGATTCCCGAATGCCGAAACAGCAAGTCACACTGAGTACGAGTACAGCAGCTGGAAACTGGTACGAGACTGGTCCTTGTACCGTACGGGGAGCCACTATACGTACCGGTGACACGTACGGTACTAGGGGCATTTCTGCAAAGGCCCGGAGGGAAGAACTGAAAAACGTGGTATTTGAAAGTGGCGCCCGAATTGCATCATGGCGCCAGTTGTCCAAAATCCTACGGTACCAAAGGAGGGGTTTGGAAAAAGGGGCCAGACCAAAAACGGGAATGGAGCCGAAACGACAAAAAGATAGACCAGGGATCGAGCCCTGCCGGAGTCCGTAACAGGGCGGGCCAGAAAAACGCCCAGAAATATATATATATATATCACAGCCCCTCGTTTGTTGTCCTCTTCTCCCTCTCTGCCTACGGTTTACCGGGCAGTTCTATTTGACGATATATACCCTGCTATGGTATTATGCGGTCAGGTCGAGCGGCAGTGGTCGGGGCCGTCACTACGCGGCCATGTTGTGCTTCTAGTGCCAGTGGCGTGTCTGGAGTGTATTTTTTGGCTCTGACGGACCTTTCTTTGTTTCGTGGGTGTTTTGTTTGCTTGTGATGGGGTGAGAACCGACAGTCTGTAGAGTTTTCCATCTGGTGTGGGTGAGTGATAGTCTACTTTGACTTTTGCCAAAGGTACCTTGAGGGCAGTGGTTGGTGCCCACCTCAGGGTATCAGTTGTCGGGCAGTCGTTGATGCTTAACCACAGTCGGGGTTAAGGTGGATTATCACTTACAGTGTAATCAGTTAGGGGATTCTGGAGACTGTTGAGGGTTCAGCCTCTTGATGAGTCGGTGAAACTCTGATGAAACAGTTTGCCACAGCCCCTCGTTTATTGTCCTCTTCTCCCTCTCTGCCTACGGTTTACCGGGCATCTCTCTCTCTCAAGGTAGATTATCATTTACAGTGTAATCAGTGAGGGGATTCTGCAGACTGTTGAGGGTTCAGCCTCCTGAAGAGTCGGTGAAACTCCGACGAAACAGTTTGTCAAAGCCCCTCGTTTGTTGTCTTCTTCTCTCTCTCTGCCTACGTTTTACCGGGCAGTTCTGTTTGTGACGATATATATATATATATATATAACCAGCGTGGCGGGCACGACTTTTGCAATGGCTTTATAACAATGTTTCCAATGCGGACATGACAGCAGACATTCGAGAACTCGAATGCCTCA